TGCGTGAAATTGGCCAAATTGCCAATTTCTGACCACTTTATTGGGTAGTTCAAATCAGTAAATGGGCGGTTTCTTGTATTCAACTGATAGAAAAAATGGAGTTCTAAAGAAATAGCTATGAGTTTGGTCAACTGGAACAATGAAATTGGCCAAAAACAGGGCTCAAAGTCGGTGAAATCAACGATGCGTATATATCGCCGAGACCGCTAATTTCGCGGGAGCGTAATTACATGAGTTTTCGACCAAATTTCGTACTTTTGGTGTCATTACCATTGGGAAAAGATTCTCTATCATTTCATAAGAAAACAATTTTTTTTTTCCATAAATTTTGTAACACAGAATGACAGTTTCAGAAAGGGGCTTGCAACAAAGTCAACAGTCAAATGCTTTTTTTCATTCATCTTTTACACTTTATATTTCATTGTTTTCTAACCTTCATATTCTATAGGTATAGCAACTACACTCCTTAGTCTGTGGTTATTATTATTTTTTTAATTAACACATCAGCCATTTTCCACCAAGGTAGGGTGGCCCAAAAAAGAAAAACTTTCACCATCATTCACTCCATCACTGTCTTGCCAGAGGCACACTTACAATACAGTTACAAAACTGCAACATTAACACCACTCCTTCAGACTGCAAGCACTGTATTTCTCATCTCCAGGACTCAAGTCTGGCCTGCCAGTTTCCCTGAATCCCTTCATAAATATTACCTTGCTCATACTCCAACAGCATGTGAAGCCCAAAAAACCATTTGTCTACATTTGCTCCTATCTAACATGCTCACATATGTTTGCTGGAAGTCCAAGCCCTTTGCACACAAAACTTCCTTTAACTCCTCCCTCCAACCTTTCCTAGGTCGACCTCTACCCTGCCTTCCCTCCATTACAGATTTATACTCTCGAAGTCATTCTATTTTGTTTCATCCTCTCTACATGTCCGAACCACCTCACCAACCCCTCCTCAGCCCCCTGGGTAATAAATAGTTTTGGTAATCCCGCACCTCCTCCTAATTTCCAAACTATAAATTCTCTGCAATTATATTCACATCACACACTGCCCTCAGACATGACATTTCCACTGCCTCCAGCCATCTCCTTGTCGAAACATTCACCACCCATGCTTCGCACCCATGTAAGAGCATTGGTATAACTATACTCTCATACATTCCCCTCTTTGCTTTCATGGATAAAGTTCTTTGTCTCCACAGACTCCTCAGTGCACCACTCACCTTTTTCTCCTTGTCAATTCTATGATTCACCTCATCTTTCATAGACCCATCTGCTGACACTTCCACTCTTAAATATCTGAATACATTCACCTCCTCCATATTCTTTCCTTCCAATCTGATATCCAATCTTTCGTTGCCTAATTCTTTTGGTAACCTCATCACCTTACTCTTTCCTATATTCACTTTCAATTTTCTTCTTTAACATACCCTACCAAACTCTTCCACCAACCTCTGCAACTTCTCCTCAGAATCTCCCAAACACAGTGTCATCAGCAAAGAGCAACTATAACAACTTCCACTCTGTGTTAGATTCTTTATCTTTTAACTCCACACTCCTTGCCAACACCCAAGCATTCATTTCTATTACAACCCTATCTATAAATATATTGAACAACTATGGTGACATCACATATCCTTGTCTAAGGCCTACTTTTACTGGGAAACAATTTCTCTCTCTCCCATATACTCTAACCTGAGCCTCACTATCCTCGAAAACAATCTTCGCTGCTTTCTATTCCATACATTTGCAACATCTGCAAATGCCACAAAAAGCTCTTTACCCATATCTAAATACTGTTCACCTATACCTTTCACTGTAAACACTTAGTCTACACATCCCCTAACCTTCCTGAAGCCTCCTTGTTCATCTGCTATCCTACTCTCCATCTTACTCTTAACCCCTAACTCTCCATCTTACTCTTAACCCCTAAATGGTCTAATCGTATATATACGTTCTCTCGCTTAGCGCCCCAAACGTATATATATGTTTTCTTTCTCATTCATTCAACATTGCCACGATAAGCCTGAGTCACCCAGACATGAGAGAATGGGTGTGCGCACTCACTGTGAGCCATATTAAAATAATTGGGGACACCTGGGTACCATATGCTCTTTTTTCCTATAAAAAAAAAACTGATTTTTTTTCTCAAAAAACTTCGGGGCGCTACGCGAGTGAACATATATATATACGTTTGGACCGTTTAAGGGTTAATTCTTTCAATAATAACTCTACCATACACTTTATGAGGTATACTCAACAGACTTATTCCCCTATAATTTTTGCACTCTCTATTGTCTCCTTTGTCTTTATACAAAGGAACTATGCATACTCTCTGTCAATCCTTAGACACCTTACCCTCTTCCATACATTTATTAAATAAAAGCACCAACCACTCCAAAACTATATCCCCACCTGCTTTTAACATCTCTATCTTTATCCCATCAATCCCAGCTGCCTTACCCCCTTTCATTCTACCCACCGCCTCACAAACTTGCCCCACACTTGCAACTCGCTCTTCCACACTCCTACAAGATATTCCTCCTTGTTCTATACACAAAATCACAGCTTCCCTATCTTCATCAACATTTAACAATTCCTCAAAATATTCCCTCCATCTTCCAGATACAAGTAACTCCCCATTTAATACCTTTCCTCTCCTATTTTTAACTATCAAATCCATTCGTTCCCATGTGAAAGAATAGGTCTGTGTGCTACGTGTGTGTTGTATAAAAAAAATTGGGGAGGCCGCAGTGCACTGTGGGAGTGCCAATTCAGTACACCTTGTTCACCATGCCTAGTGGTAAGGAATACATCACTCCCCGGCAAATTGGGACTCTTCCCTTCCCAAGTGAAAGTTCTAACACAGATGGAAGTGTTAGTGAAGATGAATTTTATGGTTTTGAGGAGTTTGTGACTGAAAGCAATGTCCAGAATACCAGAAATAGTGCTGAAAACCCATACAACCATCAACCTTCCACCTATGGTGCTGGGCCCCCTTTTTCATGTGCAGTTCTATCACAGGAAAAGAGGAAACTCATATTTTCCCAATGTCTCAAAGAATAAGTAAGTTTATTCAGGTATACACAAATACAATTATAGATTATCATACACAGCAGCATGTGTGTAGACAACATAAGATAACCCAAAAAAGTCAAACTAAGTGACTTATTTCCATGTGGGTGGTGGGGAAGACAGCATGGGTGGTGGGGAAGACAGCATGGGTGGTGGGGAAGACAGCATGGGTGGTGGGGAAGACAGCATGGGTGGTGGGGAAGACAGCATGGGTGGTGGGGAAGACAGCATGGGTGGTGGGGAAGACAGCATGGGTGGTGGGGAAGACAGCATGGGTGGTGGGGAAGACAGCATGGGTGGTGGGGAAGACAGCATGGGTGGTGGGGAAGACAGCATGGGTGGTGGGGAAGACAGCATGGGTGGTGGGGAAGACAGTATGGGTAATGGGTAATGTTACAATTGGGATGGATAATATACATGTGGCAGCAGGTGGTGGTGCTGGTGTAATGTGTCATGTGGCACTGGCAGCACCCCAGGCTGGTAGCCATGCTGCTGACTCAGCACATCTACAACAAAGGCCACCTTCAACTACCCACACACCACAACAACCTGCACAACCACAACAACCTGCACAACCACAACAACTTGCACAACCACAATAATCTACACAACCACAACAACCTGCACAACCACAACTTACACAACCACAATAACCTGCACAACCAAAACAGCCTGCACAACCACAACAACCTACACAACCACAACAACCCATCCACAAAAACGTAGAGACACTCATTTTATGTGTGAGGAGTGTAAAACAGCACTGTGCATAACACCACATTTCAAAAAGTTCCACAAGCTACAGCACTTCTAGAAACGTGTCCAGTGACTATACACGTGTATATATAGTGGTACCTCAAGTTTCGAACAGCTCCCAACTCAAACAATTCATTAACTCAAACAATTGTTTAAGTGTATTTTTTTAAGTGCTTTTGTCAGTGTAATTTTGGGAGTCTGAAATGGACTAATCTAATTTACATTATTCCTTATGGGAACAAATTCCTTTGGTATAGGCACTAACAGCCTTCTGGAACGTATTAAGTTTGTAACTCGAGGTACCACTGTATGTAGAACAAGAGTAATAAACAACTTTTCTAATTGTTGGTTTGCATCAACAAGTTTTGTAAACAATATAAACGATGATAATATTTGTGTGGTTATTGCATTGAATAAAATGAGTGGATATATACACCTACCATCCGACTTACGACCGAGTTCGGTTCTGAGAAATCGGTCGTAAGTCGAAATGGCCGTAAGTCGAACTTTACTACTGAATATCAACAAAACATTTTTGTAATGACTTTATTTTATTGTTTTATTTTGGTATTTCATGTTTTACTTTACTTTTTATGTTGTTAGTACTGTATTTTATACTGTAAGGTTTAGGATAAACACTGTGTACAACACAAATAGTTGTTTATTTCCCAGAAATTTGGCATAAAAAACACAGTCGTAAGTCAAGTGGTCGTAAGTCGAGTAGGTCGTAAGTCGGATGGTAGGTGTATACATTATGCACTATATTGGTCTCACAGGCCACAAAAGTTACTTGAGAAAATAAAACATTAGAAAGGAAAAAATAGAATAAAAGTAAAAATAATATTACCGAGTGAGCGACAGTTGCTGATGTTGCCGTAAGCAGTTCACTTCGTCAATTTCACGCCTCTATATCTCGGTAAGTACTGATCACAATTTTTTTTTTCTTTTAAAACAATCAGATGAATATTCTTAAGATTCTGGTAAGAAAAATAATTTATTTTTTTTCGAATATTTTTCGGAACAAGTTTGTGATCAAGGGTCTTGACAGTGAAAGGGTTAAGTAATGACTGTATCAACCTTGTGACCTGCTTATTAATTTTACTGAGTGTATAAAATTCTTAATTGTTATTAAAACTTAAGGAATCTTGTTGTGTTTCTAACCTGGAGGAAAAGCTCCCAGTTTGAATAGAGAGAGATGTCATCATCAAACTTTTGATCATCGAGGTATATCGTCTGTGGATTCTTCCAACTCTTTTTCCGTAATCGCACATTTTCTGGGATTAGGTTCATATTACACCGTGTATTTACTTCCTTTACAATGGCTTTCTTGGCACTGCCAACAGTGTCACCCTTACATACAACCCAGTCAATGAGGAATCGAGCAGGCTGAAAAAAAAAATAAAACTAATTAATATCTTTTCCACTAGAGAATTCTTAGACTTTTTATCCTGAAACTGGTTTAATAAATATTGGGCACTGAGTAAAATAATCCCTCTTAACTAAAAAAACAGCCTGAGTTCTATATTTTACTATCATTTAAGAATTACTGTCAGGAGTTTTAATTTCAATACACAGTAGGTTAACCTACTTCAGTCAGTCATGGAAGCATATTGCACAGTAGGCTTGCTGATTTCAGTCAGCCACAAGAAACACTATCAATGATATAGGCAAAAAATTTATCCAACTGACTTCCTTTATAGTTATTTTAAATTTTTTTATTTTTTTGAGTAACACTTATTAGCTACAACAGCTCTCCATCCACAACCAAAATTTTCAATTTTTTTTTTTATCTTTATTTACTACAAGTACATATACAGTGGACCCTCGGTTATTGGCTGTTCCTGATATCGGCCAATTCGGTTTTCGCCCACTTTTTTTATCCGAAATTCTATTCCAGTTATCGACCATATTGGATGCGTAATAAATCACTCTTGAGCATGTTAAATGTCTTATTTTAGGTTAATATGGACATTTTCATTAATCCATCTATGATATTTTCTTCAAAATTATATAAGAAATACGTTACACAGCATATAGAATACAAACAGAGCATATTTATTTATTTATTTATTAATTTGAACATGATACAGTGAAGTACAAAAGAATACAGTAAAATGCAGTATGCCAAAGCCACTTGAATGCATAGCATTACGGGCTGGTTTAAAATTAACTTAAGACTAACTAAGCAATGATATATTCAGTGGTACAAAAATTATTGTAAAACAGATAACAATTTAGTACAAATGAGTATTACAAAGACAGGTCATATGGTCATTTACTGTGTGGCTGTGTAATCAGTAGAATGGAGTATTCTGTTAGGTAATGAAGTTAAATAGTAACAAAGTTTGATTGGGTCACAGGTTGACATTTATGAGATACAATAATGAGATACATATATGAGATACAATTTATGAGATACAGTGGACCCCCGCATAACGATATTAATCCGTTCCTGAGAGCTCATTGTTATGCGAAATTATCGTTATGCGAATGAATTTTCCCCATAAGAAATAATGGAAATCAAATTAATCCGTGCAAGACACCCAAAAGTATGAAAAAAAATTTTTTTACCACATGAAATATACATTTTCCTACACACAAAGAGAAGGATACATGCACAATAGTAGAGTAGTACATGCACAATATATATTGTGCATGTACTACTCTACTAAATGAAGAATAAATGACACTTACCTTTATTGAAGATGCAGCAATGACTGATGAGACACTGTCCTGGAAGTGCCTTTTCCTCCTGAGTACTGTAGGTTCTGTTTGGCATTTTCTTCCAGAACAGGCCTTATCACACTGTGTATGCCACTACGATTCTTAAATCTCTCAAACCAACCTTTGCTGGCTTAAAATTCACCAATATGAGCACTAGTTCCAGGCATTTTTCCCTGTTCACCTGGGTGTTAGTCGACTGGTGTGGGTTGCATCCTGGGAGACAAGATTAAGGACCCCAATGGAAATAAGTTAGACAGTCTTCGATTACACTGACTTTTTTGGGTTATCCTGGGTGGCTAACCCTCTGGGGTTAATTGTTTCTTGGTATTCTCAATAAGCCACACCAACAACAGTGCTACAGCAGCAGCAGCAGCTGACAGTGCTACAGCAGCAGCTGACAGTGCTACAGCAGCAGCTGACAGTGCTACAGCAGCAGCAGACGGTGCTACAGCAGCAGCAGACGGTGCTACAGCAGCAGCAGATGGTACTACAGCAGCAGCAGCAGCTGACGGTGGTACAGCAGCAGCAGCTGACGGTGCTACAGCAGCAGACAGTGCTACAGCAACAGCAGCAGCAGCAGCAGCTGACAGTGCAGCAGCAGCTGACAGTGCTACAGCAGCAGCTGACAGTGCTACAGCAGCAGCAGATGGTGCTACAGCAGCAGCAGACGGTACTACAGCAGCAGCAGCAGCAGCAGCAGCAGCTGACGGTGGTACAGCAGCAGCTGACGGTACTGCAGCAGCAGCAGCTGACAATGCTACAGCAGAGCAGCAGCAGCAGCAGCAGCAGCAGTTGACCATGGTACCACAGTATTTTGATAATATTTCTCACCCTTTTTACCACAGGGTTGGCACTAGAAGCTTTCTTGGGGCCCATGGTCACTTATTTTGCAGATAAAATCACCAAAAACGCTGTAATAATACGAAATGTTCCGATTGTATGCTTGGATGTTACCGCGGAGGCTGGCTTGTAAACAATGCCACCGGCGGAACATGTGAGGCTGGCTCAGGCCTCACATAGACGCGTCTCGGACGAATAGTCGTTGAGCGAGTTTTTTAGCGCTATGCGAGGCAAAATTTTAGTGATAAAATATATCGCTATGCGGATTTAACGTTATGTGATGCCAACGGTATGCGGGGGTCCACTGTACAATTATTCAGCATTTATTTAGTTGTGGGTAAGTGATTTTTGGGAAGAGACTTGAATTTATAAACAGACAGTGTTTCTTTTATATTCACAGGTAATGAATTCCAGATTTTAGGGCCTTTTATGTGCATTGAGTTTTTGCATAGTGTGCGATGGACACGAGGAACATCAAAGAGTGATCTGTGTCTTGAGTTATGGTCATGTGTTCTGTTGAGGTTGGTAAGGAGATGTTTGAGGGGAGGATTTATGTCAGAGTTAAGTGTTCTATGTATGTAGTAGGTGCAGTAATAAGTATGGATGTTTTGTATTGTGAGTAGGTTTAGAGTTTTGAATATTGGTGGAGTGTGCTGTCTGTAGTGGGAATTTGTTATCATTCTGACTGCAGCCTTTTGTTGGGTGATTAGTGGTCTGAGATGGTTTATTGTTGAGCCCCATGCACAAATTCCATAGGTGAGATAGGGGTAAATAAGTGAGTGATATAGGGCCAGGAGGGCTGACTGTGGAACATAGTACCCTATCTTTGATAGTATGCCTACGGTCTTGGAATTTTTTTTGGAAATTTGTTGTGTGTGTGTTTGAAATTTGAGTCTATTATCAAGGTGGATGCCTAGGAATTTTCCCTCTGTGAGTTTTGTGATAGGTGATCCATTTATCATTATGTTAAGAGACACATCTGCAGCTCTGTTACCAAACTGAATGTAGTAGGTTTTGTCAATGTTTAGAGTAAGTTTGTTGGTCCTCATCCAGGTTGATATTTTCTGTAATTCGGTATTTACAGTATTGGTTAGCATGACTGGGCTCGGGTGGGAGTAGACGTATGTAGTGTCATCTGCAAATAGTGTGGGTTTGAGTAGTTGCGATGCATTGGTAGGTCATTTATGTATATGAGAAAGAGAAGAGGGCCTAGGACACTTCCCTGTGGGACACCAACTGTAATTGGCTGTGCTGAAGAGTTTGCCCCATTTGTGTACACATATTGGCTTCTGTTGCTGAGGTATGACTTTAGGTAGTTGAGGGAGTGCCCTCTTATACCATAGTGCGACAATTTTATGTGGAGCAAGTCGTGGTCAACTGTATCGAAAGCTTTACGTAAATCAATAGCAATGTTTATATGCTATTGAGAGGAGAGTCGGGTGCAGAGTAAACATTACATTTTCTCTGATTCAGAGTTAGAGAAAACTGCGAATCTGGTGTCTCGCCCAGTAACCGCCCTTCATATGCGTTTGTGTACAATTCTCAGCATGAATTATTCATTACCTCTCCCTTTATGATGGCATCTAAAAGTAGTCATTAGAAATGATTAAACTCAGTGAACATGGTAATAATATGCTGTGTTGTGTAATAATATGACTGTATAGTGTAGCCCAGGAGGGCTACACTACACAGAGGGGAGAGGGGGTTGGGGGATTTCCAACTCCCTCTCCCTTCCTGCCTTCTTCAATATGCCAATAAGAGTCTTCAATAAATGTATATAATGTTCCTTTATCATTAAAATTTGTGTTTTATATTTCTCATTGTTTTCTTTATGTAAAACTATTGCTAATCTTTAAAAAATGTATTTTTGTTAATATTTTTGGGTGTCTGACATGGATTAATTGGGTGTCATTAATTCTTATGGGAAATATTATTTCAGTTTTCTGCCTTTTCAGATTTAGGCCGACCTTCTTTAACGTATTACGGCCGATAACTGAGGGTCCACTGTACTAGGTATACAGGACTAGCTGACATCTATAATATATACTACTATATAGAAAGCTGCTAGTTATGCAGAGCATTTTGGGCAAATTAGGTCAGTTTTGTCCCAAGAGGCAAACCACACCAGTCAGCTAACACCCAGGTACCCATTTTACTGATGGGTGAACATTTGGTGAACACAGACAACCGGCGATGGAAACACGTCCCACATTTCCACCCCTTTGCTAGGAATCAAACCCGAACCCTCACTGTGTGAAGCAAGAGCTTTTGCACCAGGCCACTGATTTTCCATTTTATGGCAGGTAAATGGGGCTGCGAGTCAACAGTTGGATGAAAAAAAACGGAACACACCGTGACTTTTCATAATGAAGAACACAGCCCTCAGGCGAAATGTTACAATAAAGCCTTACACTAGTTACTGGTTTCTCTTTTTCGTCATTTTCATGTTGTGTCCTTTCTTATCTTGCACTTATTCTTCATTATCTTTCTAATTTCTTGCCTATTACTTATTTTCCTTGTTGCACCAACCACTTTCTTTCCACCCAGTTCTGCTCATTAGTAGTGTTCCTGTTACTTTACATGCTTAAGAGCTGTAATAACTAAATGTGTGCAATTACTGAAGGAATGCTTCACTGTCTTGTACACAGATCTATGTTACTGATGTCATAGTCACTTATGTAGAGCTATGTTTTCAACTCAGCTCCCTTAAATAAGCTGTGAGCGGTAAATTTTGGCCTAAGACATGAGAGAATGGGTCTGTGCAGTAAATGTGCACAACATAAAAAAAAAAAATCCTGCACCATGCTGTGCATGATGGGAAA